CCAGGTACCAAACAAAAGATGAGCAAGCAACGGCCGTTTGCCCGATCCGGCCCCGCGGCGGATGGAGGGATTAGCATCTCTCTACGAACCGCAGCCGGTGAAGTTTTCCGGGTGATGCTGCTAATTGCGTTTGCAGCTTTGGAGCTGGGGGGGTGGTGGGATGGAAAGTCCTTCACCGGGTACCAGCCGGCACCGACGGTCGGCACGGGTTGTTTATTACCGGCGCGCCGGGCAGGAGCATCCGTCACTTCTTGGGCTCAGGCGTGGGAGGGCTTCGTGCTCCGACGGGTGCTGAGGATTTGGGGTTGTCTTTCCATGGGATAAAAGAGGACATGGTTAAAAGCAAACCTCTCGGGACAGCAGCGGCTCCTCAGCCCGGGCAGGGTGGGCGCAGGCAGCCTGATGTGCCAGGGGGTCCTGCGCCCGCCGGCTTTGGGTGCAAAAGCAGCGGGAGAGCGTTTTCCAGCCTTGGGGGGTGGCTTTTCCAGAGCTGCTCCCTTTCTGCACCCGTCAAACCCCAGCCTCTCTGCTCCACTCGAGCTGGACCAGCTTTGGGCTGCGGAACCTTTCCCTATTGCACAGTGGCCCAAAGCCCAGCAGAACTCGTGTTTTCTATAGGGTTGGCCTTGGCTACTCTATATCATAGAATCATAGAATAGGTTGGGTTGGAAGAGACCTTTAAAGGCCATCTAGTCCAACCCCCTGCCATGGGCAGGGACATCTTCAACTAGAGCAGGTTGCTCAGAGCCCTGTAAGAGCAGTGGTGGCTTCCAGGAGGCCCCTTCATGGACCTTGGCCAAGCCTTGCATGGGCAATGGGGGATGCTCTGTCCTCCACAATGTGTTCAGTGCAGGACAGCACCTTGGGGCCAGCCCGGACGGGGGCTGGGGGTGATTGGGGGATCCGAGGGGGTTGGAGCGATGGGGAAAATCATCCGGTGCCAAGTTTCCAGCCTCTCGGACAGCTGGCTCGTGCCTCAACTCTCTTTTTCCACCCAAAAGAGGGTGACAACGTGCAAACCACTGCTGTGGCTTTGCTAACTCCTGACTCTACCCTGGGGTGGTTTGGGGTAAAACCACGTCCCAAAACCCTGCCAGGCCCCGTGTGGGAGGTTTAACAGCAGCAGGATGGTGTCCAGAGCTGATTTACCAGGGTTTGCACAGTCTTTTATACCCCGTGTCCCATGTGTTCGAGGTGGATTTGCCTCTGACCTTGCTCATCACCTCCACTGGCTGCTCTCCACAAGTATCCCATTGCGATGGCACCGGTCCTCAGCCGCATGTCGGGATCACGGGATGATTTTAAAATTTTAAGGTCTTTTTTTCCAGGTGTTGGCTTACCCCGGTGGAGAAACACATCTGCCTCGGGATTTTCCATCCCCAGGATGTAATGCCAAGGTGGCACCTGAAGGCTGGGCCATCCTCCCAGAGCACCTAAGAGTGATTTTTGTTGGGTCTGGGCTCAAGCAAGAGCCAGACACGGGCTGTGAGCATCCCTCCCCCCAGCCCGTATGAAGCACAGTTGTTGATTTTCATGCTTATGAGAAGACAAACTGCAGGGCACGGCGAAGCCACGCGGGGAGGTTTGCTGGTGATCTCACCAGCAGAGAGCAGATGTGGTCTCGCCTTGGGTGGGTGAGGGATTTGCTCCTGTTTTACTCCACACGGTCTTCTGCAGGGGAAGGAGCCAACCCAAAGGCAACCTCCTGGGGAGAGCGGCCCATAAACAGGACACCGGGGCTGGAGGGACCCAGAGTGGGGTTGAGCCACTTCATCCAGACATCTGCTCCATCCTGGAGAGATCTCCTCTGGAGATCCTCCTCTCTTTCCAACAGTCAGAGAAGAGGCTGAGAATAAACAAAACCAAGGTGGGCTGCACATGGTTTAGTGGGCATGGTGGTGTTGGGTTGACGGTTGGACTTGATGATCTTAGAGGTCTTTTCCAACCTTAATGATTCTATGATTCTATGATCTCCTGGCCAAAGGATATTGGGGTGCAACAGATTCACCGAGTACCCCGGGACTGGATGAAACCCTCCATAGCGGGTTACTAAAGAGGCAAAGCACCAGAGGTTCAAGGCGTATCCTCTGAAGCATTTGGTTCACACCTTCTCCGGGCCCCCGACCTCCCCAAATCCATCCCCAAACCAGCTGCATCTCGCCGCAGCGCCCGCAACTGCGTCAACTGCCTCCATCCTCCCTGAGAGATCCCCCGATCTGCAATATTTTTCCATGACGGAGAGCTATTCTGAGATACTTTATGGCCCAAACCGGAGCTATGATTCCCACTTTAAAGGCTCTTTCATCTTCATTAGGCCAATCTGAGCGGTTTATGT